ATATATGTTAATTTTTAGATAAAAATCTATAATTAAACATTTAATCAAGAAACTTGTATTTTTTTTAAGTTGAATAAACACTTCTCTCCCTTTGTATAGGAAGAGATATAAAAAGAGAATAATCTCAGCCATTCGTTTAAGAAATTTATATTTTTTCACAATGAATGACTAAATTTTATCATATTTTTTTGAATAAAAAATTAATTAACTTTTAAAAATATGATAAAAAAATAAATCTTTGACATTCATTATTGACTTATTAACTATTAAGATTTTGTGTAAAATTTGTGTGTAAATTGATATAGCTATATATATTATATGTATTACATATATAGTAGGCATCCAATTATATATAAATTTTATGTACCATACTTATAAAAAAAATCTTAATTATTTATCTCTTTAATAATTGAGATTTATTAACTTCTTATCATATTTATTAATAATAATTATCTTTTTTATTTAAAAAGTTGTGATTAATTTTAACTATTGAAAATAAAAAGACGAATTATTAAAATTTTATGTAAATATAAAATATAAATTTTGTGTGTAAATAAATACTTACTCATATATATATATATGTGTGTGTGTGTGAAAAGAGTGTTTCAAGACTTTTGCTTGGAGAATATCTCAAAAACGTTATATTTTAATCAATATATATTTTTAAAATTAACTATTAGATTGAAAATTTTAGTTTGATCCAGTAAGTCAAACTAGTCAACTAATTTGTAGAAGATTAAAAAAAGATTAACATTATTGCCAGACCAAAATAAAACAGAATGTTAATTTCTAAAATTAAAAATTATGATATAATCAATAATTTAAGTAATTTAGTATCAATTTTCTTTTATTAAAAATAAGAAATCCTGAATTTAAGTTAAATGGTATATAAGTGAAATGTTAAGAACTGAGAAAGTCTTATTTTTTATTGTTCAACTCAAAATAAAAATAAAAATAATTAATAAGATATAGCACAAAAATGAAGATAAGAGGAGAAAAGGAAAAGGGAAGAGGGTAACTAAGTGAACGTTATTGCTTACCCGAAGCTGACGAAATAGTTAAACAAATAGAGGCTATGGCAAGTGCTACAACTGGAATGAATAAATTAAATTGTATCAATGATTCAGAAAGAATGAGTTTCGTAGCTGCAATAATTGATTGCCGTGAGAAAAAAAAAAATATTGCCTTTTCAACTCACGGTACAACAAAAAGAATGAAATTAATTCAAAAGGCAAAACAATAATACTTTTTTCTT